CCGCGCCCCCGGGGGCAGGGCCTTTACCCCACCCCCCCCCCCCCCCTCACCCTGCTGCTCCCCGCACCCTCCCAGAGGCTAACACTGCACTTCGCTCGCTCCCCGCAGGCACGGAGGCAGATGAACTGAATCCCGCTCCCATTACCTGCTCTCTGTCATCCAAAGCCTGCCTGCTACCGCTCCTACAGCACGGCGCGCTTTGTGGCTCCAGGAGAGGAGAGGAGAGAGCTGGTGAGCGCGCCGGAGCCGGCTCTCTGGGTGAGCATGCAGGTAGGCTGGGACGGGTTTCCACTGGAGCTTATGGGAGCTGGGAGCCCAGCACCAGCTGCACCGCAAACTCCGTGCCTCCTTTGCAACCCCCTGCATGAACTACCGGCTCCGGGCTGTGTTGCCCAGCCCCATACGCGTGGTGGGGCTGCATCCATCCTGCCCAGCTCATCCTTGGGGCCATGGCAGGGCACAAAGCCGGACAGAGAGCGGCTCCAGCCGGATGGCACCGCTCAGACCCCTGCGTGGAGGGGCCGTGCACCGGGGAGGCAGCTCTGCTGGGAAGGGGAGAGGAGAGCGAGGTTTCTCTCTGGGGGAGGGGTGGTGTGTCTGGGGCCTCCCGTGCCACTCGGGATGGGCAGCCCCTCTCCAGCGAGGTGAGGGAGCCGTTCGGCATGGATGGGCTGATTGGGGCGAAGGCGGCTCAGAGAAGGGTGTGCAGAAGGGAGAAGTCAGGCAGAAGTCCCTTTCCTGCATTGCTGCGGGTGGAAGGGGGACAGGGAAGCGGCAGACTTGGGGGCGAGTGGTTCTCACGGCTGGGGCCGGCTGCTCCCCGCCATCCTCGCCCAGCGCCGGGGTGCGGAGGGAGGGCAGGCGCTGCCGGCTCTTGGCTCCTTCCCTTGACTCACAGGCTCCATCGGAGACTTGCTTTCCACTAGCTCTTCCCAGGCACGCTTGCCCATACTCTGCACCCCTTCCCTTCCCGCCCTGCCTGCACCCAGGGTGCAGTGCCCTGGCCACGCAGCCACGCCTGCGCTTCCCTACCTGCACCGGCACGTTCGGCGGCTGGAGGCCGGGCAGCTGGCCGCTACCTGCACGCTGGGCTGGAGGAGCGGGCACACGTGTGGCAGGTTGTGCAAACAGGCTCTGGCACGTGCCGGATCCCCCGCGTGTCGCCGCAGGCTCTGCCACCGCTTCACCGCACCCCGCCGCCCAAAAGCCAGGGGGGCTCCTGGAGGTTAAGAGAGGGCGGAGCAGCCGGGAGTCCCCGAACCAAGAGGGATGACTCTGGCTGCAGCAGGCAGCCGAGATGCCAAATCCCTTTTAAAGGGTTATTTG